AGCCCAGGAGTTGGAGGTTGCTGTGAGCTGTAATGCCATGGCACTCTACCCAGGGGGACAGCTTGAGGCTCTGTCTCAAAAAAAAAAAAAAGAAATAGGCACATGGAGTAAAAACAGGTCAAGTTATAGACTGAAACCCATCAAAATGTCTGCACTCCAAATGTATTTGATGAACACTGGCATTAAAAAAATACCCCAATTAAAGCTCATTGGAAGCCTAATGCTATTCCTAGCAGAAGATAAAGTTGCATTTGTAAGTGTGAACTGGTCAGAGTTGGGCAAATCTTCCTGGCAGTCAAGTCCAATCACCTTGAAATGATTTTGCAGGTCAAGTTAATCTGACCATTCCATACTGTTGGGGTCTCAGCCTTTAAAAACCAAGGAGACACTAATCCTCAGGAGTGGATGAGTTCACATTAACTTCAGCCGACTGTAATCACATATCCAGGAACATAAGCAAATTCATCTACATCAGTGGTTTGAAACCTTCCTAACGCCATGACCCTTTAAAACAGTTCCTCAAGTTGTGGTGACCCCCCTACCATACAATTATTTTTGTTGCTACTTCATAACTGTAATTTTGCTGCTATTATGAATCATAATGTAAATATCTGATATGCAGGACGGTCTTAGGCAAACCCTGTAAAGGGCTGTTCACCCCCCCGCCAAGCGGTCGTGACCCACAGGTTGAACTGCTGATCTACATTATTTCCTTTTCTCTTTTACATCACAAATTATTGTTAATGATATTTCACGTGTATTCATGCCCCTACACATAACAAATACGTTGTTCTACATGTTTGCACAGCACATTTGCTACAATTTAAGGGACTTAAAAGTGGAATTAGGCTCCTACTTCCATTTGAAATTCAACAACATAGCCTATCTCCTTTCTAAATATACTGCAATCTTTGTCCACCCAAAATGTAACCTGGAAGAGATGTGCTTAGCTTCCTTCTAAATTTTTACTTCATTTTCTCTAATATGTAACATACCCACAAGAAAAGTACCCTAAAAAAGGATAGGAGTTTTGTTTTGTCTGTGCTGTACTAGCACCTAGAAGAGCGCCTAGCACTCAGAAAATGCTTCAAATGTTAAGTATATGCAAGTAACAGCTTCCAATGACAGATGGACACCTGAGGTCACTGGTCTACCTGCCTGTCTCTTCAGACAGATGTATAAACTGCCCCTGGTGCTTAGCACAGTAAAGCCAAATGAAGAAAGTAGGCAGAAACGGTATTTCCCCAGCTCAATTAGAAGGGGAAATAGGACTTCCACTGAGCTTTGAAGAATATTCCACGTAGAAATCTGATGATCACTCCTCCCCACCCCGCCCCTAACTTCCCCAAGTGGACCTCCCTGGGGGATGCCCAAGGCTCACAGGGTAATGACTAACCTATAACTTGGGCCTTGCGTGCTCTAAGACCCTGGCTCACCGCTCCTTCAGTACCTCCTCTTCCCACTCTGCTGGCTGCTTGGCTGCCTTTCAGGCTCTAGGGACTTAGGTCTAAGGCTGCCACAAAGCCTTCTCAGGGCTGTTTTCTCCACATGGCCTGCCTCTCCCACCTCTTTCTGCCCAGACAAATCATTGTGCCAATTTCTGCCTAAATGGCCAGGCATGGTGGTTCACGCCTGTAGTCCCAGTGCTCTGGGAGGCCGAGGTGGGTGGACTGCCTGAGCTCAGAGGTTTGAGATCACCCTGAGCCAGAGTGAGCCATAGTGAGACTCCGTCTCTACCAAAAAAGCCGGGCGTTGTGGCAGGCACCTGTAGTCCCAGTTACTTGGGAGCTAAGGGCAAGAAAATCACTGAAGGAAGAAAAGAAAGAAAGAAAAAAAAAACTTTAAACTAAGATGAATGAAAGCCAGTTGAAAGCAAAATTGAAAAAAAAATTAAAAAAAAAAATTTCTGGCTCAGCGCCTGTGGTTCAAGCAGCTATTTGAACCTGAGCTGGCAGGTTTGAATCCAGCCCGGGGCTGCCAAACAACAATGATGGCTGCAACCAAAAAACAGCTGGGCATTGTGGTAGGCACATGTAGTCCCAGCTACTTGGAAGACTGAGGCAGGAGACTTGCTTAAGCCCAGGAGTTGGAGGTTGCGGTGAGCTGTGATGCCACGGTACTCTACCCAGGGTGACAGCTTGAGGCTCTGTCTCAAAAACAAAAAAAAACAAAAAACCCCCAAATTTCTGCCTAATGTTCCTATGGGAAATAAAAGCCTTCTGTGGCCAAATCTCCCTACTTTAGGCTCTTATGACTCAGGCCTCTCTCCTTATTATAACTCATCAGTGGTAATTTTACTCTTATTTTAGTGATTGTTACATTAATTTCCATCTCTTTCATTATACTATAATTTTTTCATACTATACTTTCATTATACTCCACAAGTGTAGAGACAGGCCTTGATTTTGCTAAATCCTTTATCCTCCAGGACCTAGAATGAGGCCTGTGCTCACAGACATATGCAATAAAAAAGTTCTACAAGGGGGGGTGGCACCTGTTGCTCAGTGAGTAGGGTGGCAGGTTCAAACCTGGCCCTGGCCAAACTGCAATAAAAAATAGCCGGGTGTTGTGGCAGACACCTATAGTCCAACTACTTGGGAGACTGAGGCAAGAGAACCTCCTGAGCCCAAGAGCTGGAGGTTGCTGTGAGCTGTGACGCCATGGCACTCTACCAAGGATGACAAAGTGAGACTCTGTCTCAAAAAAAAGTTCTACCAGGGCTAGATGGACAAAGGCTACCAGAGTCATAAATCTCTCTGCATGGAAGGCACAGAGGACATCAGATAAGATACTGGACTGATGAGGAAGTCAAGAGGGGGCAGTGAGGGTGCCAGGTAGACAAGAGGGAATGAAAAATGGGACTGGGCTCAGCGCCTATGGCTCAAGCGGCTAAGGCGCCAGCCACATACACCTAAGGTGGCGGGTTCAAATCCCCAGCCCGGGCCCGCCAAACAACAATGATGGCTGCA